CAGCTGAGGAAGCTGACTTGGGGACTTGAATCTTGTTATATTGTAGAAAGAACAGTGGTCTTGAAGCCTTGGGCAAGTCTCAGTTTCCAGTATGGGCTAGATGATTTCTAAGATAGATAAATAACTGCCATTGAGTCGACTCTGATGGATAGCAACCTAAAGCACTGGAGAAAAAAATGTTGCCTGGTCCTGCGTCATCTTCACAATCGCCAACTGTTCCAGTCCATCGTTGCAGCTATTGTGCCAATTCATCTCACCAAGGGTCTCCCTCGCCCTCCCTAGCCCTCTACTTCACCAAACATGATGTCCTCCTCCAGTGACTGACTCTTCCTGATGAGATGTCCAAAGCAAGTGAGCCAGATAATGTGGTTTGTGGTGATCCATAAGGTTTCTATTGGCTAATTTTTGGAAGTAGATCCCCAGGCCTTTCTTCCTAGCCTGCCTTAGTCTGGAAGCTTCAATGAAGCCTGTCGGTCATGAGTGACTCTGCTAGTATTTGAAATACTGGTGGCATAGCTTCTAGCATCACAGCAACATGCAAGCCACCACAGTACAACATACTGACAGGCAGGTGGTGGAATGATCTCTGAAGCCTTTTCTAGTTTTTGCGTAAGTGTGGACTGACCTTGTTAGAAAGAAAAACTAAGACATAACATGCTCTTTATAAACCCATTTCCATTATACCATGCAAGGTCAACCAAATCAAAACCAAACCCGTTGCCGTCAAGTCAATACTGACTCAAAGCGACCCTATAGGACACAGTAGAACTGCTCCACTGAGTTTCCTAGGCTGTAATCTTTATGGCCACTACTCATCTGTCAGTTTGTTGAACATTTCAAGATCTATCCTGAAGTACAGTGCTTTCAGTGATAATGTCCATAAGCCTACAAGGAAGACTAGATAACACAACGATTATTCAAATTTATGCACCAACCACTAATGCCAAAGATGAAGAAATTGAAGATTTTTACCAACTTCTGCAATCTGGAATTGATCAAACATACAGTCAAGATGCATTGGTAATTACTGGTGACTGGAATGTGAAAGTCGGAAACGAAGGATCAGTAGTTGAAAATATGGCTTTGGTGATAGAAACGATGCCAGAGATCACATGATAGAATTTTGCCAGACCAATGACTGATTCATTGCAAATATCGTTTTTCAGCAACATAAATGGCAACTATATATGTGGATCTCACTGGATGGAAAACACAGGAACCAAACTGAATATGAAAGAGACGATGGAAGAAGCTCAATATCATCAATCAGAACAAGGCCAGGGGCCGACTGTGGAACAGACTACCAATTGCTCATATGCAAGTTCAAGTTGAAGCTGAAGAAAATTAAAACAAGTCTACAAGAGCCAAAACACAGCCTTGAGTATATCCCACCTGAATTTAGAGACCATCTCAAGAATAGATTTGACACACTGAACACTAATGACTGGAGACCAGACGAGTTGCGGGATGACATTAAGGACATCATACACAAAAAAAGCAAAAGGTCATTAAAAAGACAGGACAGAGAGAAAAGGCCACAATGGATGTCAGAAGAGACTCTGAAACTTGCTCTTGAACATAAAGTAGCTAAAACGAATGGAAGAAATGATGAAGTAAAAGAGCTGAACAGAAGATTTAAAAGGGCAGCTCAAGAAGACAGAGTAAAGCATTATAATGACGTGCAAAGACCTGAAGTTAGAAAACCAAAAGGAAAGAACATGCTCAGCATTTCTCAAGCTGAAAGAACTGAAGACAAAAATTCAGGCCTCGAGTTGCAATAGTGAAGGATTCTACGGGGAAAATATTGAAAGATGCAGGAAGCATCAAAAGAAGATGTAAGGTATACACAGTCACTGTACCAAAAAGAATTGGTCAACATTCAACCATTTCAGGAGGTAGCATATGATCAAGAACCTATGGTACTGAAGGAAGAAGTCCAAGCTGCACTGAAGGCATTGGCAAGGCTCCAGGAATTGACAGAATACCAATTGAGAGGTTTAAACAAACAGATGCAACACTGGAAGCACTCACTTGTCTGTGCCAAGAAATTTGGAAGACAGCTACCTGGCCAGCCGACTGGAAGAGATCCATATTTTTGCCCATTCCAAAGAAAAGTGATCCAACAGAATGCGTAAATTATCGAACAATATCATTAGTATCACACACAAGTAAAATTTTGCTGAAGGTAATTCCAAAATAGTTGCAGCAGTACATTGACAAGGAACTGCCAGAAATTGAAGTCGAATTCAAAAGAGTACATAAAACAAGCAATATCATTCCTGATGTCAGATGGATCTTGGCTGAAAGCAGAGAATACCAGAAAGATGTTCATCTGCATTTTATTGACTATGCAAAGGCATTCAACTGTGTGGATCATAACAAATTACTGATAACATTGTGAAGAAAGGGAATTCCAGAACACTTAATTGTGCTCATGCAGAACCTGTACGTAGACCAAGAAGCAGTTGTTCGAATAGAACAAGGGGATACTGCATGGTTTAAAATTCGGAAAGGTGTGCATCAGGGTTGCATCCTTTCACCATATTTAATTAATCCGTATGCTGAGCAAATAATCGAAAAACTGGACTCTATGAAGAAGAAGGCGACATCAGGATTGAAGGAAGACTGATTAACAATCTGCAGTATGCAAATGACACAACTTTGCTTGCTGAAAAGCGAAGAGGACTTGAAGCACTTACTGATGAAGATCAAAGACTACAGCCTTCAGTATGGATTACACCTCAACATAAAGAGAACAAAAATCTTTACAACTGGACCAATAAGCAACATCATGATAAACGGAGAAAAGATTGAAGTTGTCAAGGATTTAATTTTACGTGGATCCACAATCAACGCCCATGGAAGCAGCAGTCAAGAAATCAAACGACCTATTGCATTGGGCAAATCTGCTACAAAAGACCTCTTTGAAATGTTAAAAAGCAAAGATGTCACTTTGAGGACTAAGGTGCTTGTCTTGGTTATCTAGTGCTACTATAACAGAAATACCACAAGTCGATGGCTTCAACAGGGGAAGGCTTTCTATTTCTGTCAGCTCTGGAGGAAGGTTCTTGTTATCGATAGTCCCCTGGTCTAGGAGCTTCTCAGCACAGGGACCCAGGGTCCAAAGGATGTGCTATGCTCCTGGTGCTGCTTTCTTGGTAGTATGAGGTCCCCTTGTCTCTCTGCTCACTTCTCTCTTTTATATCTCAAAAGAGATTGACTTAAAACACAATCTAATCTTGTAGATTGAGTCCTGCCTCATTAATATAACTGCCACTAATCTCACCTTATTAATATTATAGAGATAGGATTTACAACACATAGGAAAATCACATCAGATGACAAAACGGTGGACAATCACACAATACTGGGAATCATGGCCTAGCCAAGTTGACAGACATTTTTGGGGAACACAATTCAATCCATGACAGTGCCCATGACCCAAGCCATGGTATTTTCAATGGCATCATAGCCATGGGAAAGCTGGACAATGAATAAGGAAGACCGAAGAAGACTTGATGCCTTTGAATCATGGTGTTGGTAAATACTGAATATACCATGGACTGCCAGAAGAACGAACAAATCTGTCTTGGAAGAAGTACATCCAGAATACTCCTTAGGAGCAAGGATGGCGAAACTATGTCTCACATACTTTGGACATGTTTTCAGGAGGGACCAGTCCCTGGAGAAGGACATCATGCTTGGTAAAATAGAGGGTCAGCAAAAAAAAGGAAGATCCCCAATGAGATGGATCGACACTGGCTGTGACAATGGGATCAAGCATAGCAATGATTGTGAGGATGGCACAGGACCAGGTACTGTGTCGTTTTTTTGTACATAGGGTTGTTATGAGTCAGAACCGACTCGACGGCATCTAACAAGAATTTTTACGGAAGCAGACTGCCACATCTTTCTTCTGCGGAGCTGCTGGTGGGTTCGAACGGCTGACCTTTTTGTTAGCAGCTGAGCACTTAAACAATGCACAACCAGGAATCCTGCAAGATCAACATTTCCCCTTTAAACAGAAATTATTACCACCAAAGTGCCAGGCTCTGTGCTAGGTACTGGCATGCAGAGCTGAACAGCATAGGTCCTGTCCTGGTGGAACTGTCTTTTGGAGCCCTCTGTTGTTATTACCAGACTTTATTTTTAGAATAGTTTTAGATTTACAGAAAAATTTAGGAGACAGTAAAGAGTTTGTGTATATTGTGCACCCAGTTTTCTCTATTATTAACATGTTAGTATGGTAAGGAGCCCTGGTGGTGCACTGGTTAAGCACTCGGCTGCTAACTGAAAGGTTGGCAGTTTGAACCACCAGCTGCTCTGTGGAAGGAGGATGTGGCAGTCTGCTGCTGTAAAGATTATAGCCTAGGAAACCCTATGGGGCAGTTGTACTCTGTCCTATAGGGTTGCTATGAGTTGGAATCAACTGGATGGCACACAACAACAACAGCAACACATTAGTATAGTATATTTGTTACAATTAGTGAGCCAGTATTGATATATAAGGAGTCACTGGGTGGTGCTTACCTGCTAACCTAAAGGTTGGAAGTTTGAGTTCATCCAGAGGTGCCTCAGAGGAAAGGCCTGGCTATCTACTTTCAAAAAAATCAGCCACTGAAAACCCTATGGAGCACAGTTCTTTCTACCTGGACATATGAGGTCACCATGACTTGAAATCGACTCCACGGCAACGGAAAAAAAAATCTCCAGCACCCTGCACATTATTTGCCACTTTTAGAAAGTACACTATAGTGGGGAAAGCAATATGATTTGGGCTAAAAAAAAAAGGTTAAGATTTAAGCACTTTGCTGTTTCCTTAATTCTGTTTCCTTGTCCCTAAAATGGGGGAAACCATAGCTATTTTGCAATATTTTGTGAGATATATATATAAGATAATGTGGGTGTGTAGTTTTTGTCGCTATAGTTTGTGAATCAGGGTAAACCAAGTAGAGAGACTCAATACCACCCCAAATGTTCCTTAGGAGGCCGCACGAAAGCCTCCGGGTTGAGTCAGCTGCAAGGAAACCTCCAAAACATAGAGCTCAGTTCCTAGATGGGCCTCTCATTCTCCACTTCCGCTCGTCCGCCTAAATCCGCGCCTGCGCGCTGTGTCTCTTCCTCTCTGGACTCGGACCTAGTTTGCGGCGCCATGGTGAGTATTGGCTGCGGCGTGGCTCTCAATCTGCCCGCATCTGCCCTTCTCTTGGCTTCTGCGCCCGAGCTCCCCTTTGTTCGCCTGCCCCAGCCCATGTCCTCCCTGAGCTCCGTGCCTCGCTGAATCCTGAGACACCATTCTCTCTGTGGGAGCAGTCGAGGGCAGGGCGGCTTGACGGCGTCTGGCTCATCCTGGCCGGGTTGGCGGGTGGTTTTGTCCGGCCAGTTGGGAAGAATTAGGTCACGGGAGGGGGAATGCAATTTTGTGTGGAGGTCTCGGGACCCGGGAGGTGGGGGTCTCTGTTCCTGGTCCCATCTCTAAGTATGGCTGGTTTCTCTTTTTCGCTCTTCACTCTTAACAGGCTAAGCGCACCAAGAAGGTCGGGATCGTCGGTAAATATGGGACCCGTTATGGCGCCTCCCTCAGGAAAATGGTGAAGAAAATTGAAATCAGCCAACATGCCAAGTACACTTGCTCCTTCTGCGGCAAAGTAAGGCGGTCTCTGGAGAGGGCCAGGGAGGGAAGATTATCACTTCCAAAGTGAGGGTTCTCTTTAAGGGAGTTCGTAAATAGTGCTGGTTCCAAAGTTGCTGAGCAGTTAGAATTGCCCATACCATTGATTATTAATTATGTGATAATAACTTCAGACTTTGTGAAATGTTTTTCATTCAAAGAAAACCACTTAGGTAAAGGATAAAAAATATGTGACAAAGAGACCCAACCTAAGTCAAACTTGCCTTGTGGAAAATAGTTCGGACAGTTTTACTTAAATGTACCAACTCCCAAGAGTGCTAGTCTTGGCATCTAACATCCTATTTGTGTTGCTGGAGATTTTTATGTAATAAATACTGGATATACAACAGTCCTTGTGTTTTGTTTTGGGGGAGGGGAGATGCTTCCATACCCCTGGCAGTGTCACCATGATGAATGCACATTTTTCACTAGTGAACTTAGGGGGTTAGAAATATATATATATAACCTCATGAGATACACCAGCTCTAGTATTCTTGTGTGCTTTAGGCTCCTGGATGCTTATAAGACAAAAGGCTTTTATTTGGTTCACAGGGAAGATTGATTCTCTTTTTCAGACCAAAATGAAGAGACGAGCTGTGGGGATCTGGCACTGTGGTTCCTGCATGAAAACAGTAGCTGGTGGTGCCTGGACCTACAAGTGAGTCCATTTTTTGTGGTATTTGGAAGTGTGTGGACCACCACATGGTGCCAAATCCTAGGCTTGACGCTGGACGGGCTAGTTTTAACTCTCATTTCTTGGCTTCAGACTTGACATGGCTGAGAAAGTAAGGATGGTTTTGGTTTTTCAGGGCACTTGAGAGTTACAGTTAAAAATAATAATTTTCAGCTCTTCCAAGAATAGAAGCAAGATGACCGAAATAAAAGTTAAAGTCTGATGCATGTATTACTTTAGAAATTTATAGAGCCACTGGGGTTGTCATGAATATTATGATACTGTGCAGTTCTGTTAGGTGGGACTGAATCTGTACTGAACCTTGGTTTGCATTAAAACTTGTTTTTAATAATTTAAAGGAAAAGAAAAGGTTGGTCACTTAGCCTGTAAACAGTATTTGTTTGGACTTCAACTTTGTGACCAGGCCGGGCGGTAGTGCTGTGAGACAAACCTATCTATGCTGGTTATTGCTTGCTTTGACTCTCCTTACCCATTTCTGGAAATTAAGGCACTCTTGAAGGCCTCTAATCTTGGAATTCATTGCTGACCCTAAGGTCTGGGAGAGTCCTCCTGAAAGGTTTTTTGGTTGATCTGAGTTCGTGGTTGATTTAAGCACTTTGAGGGGAGGTTGTTTTTTTGAGAACAAAATGGACAGTGGGGACTAGGGTCATCTCTTGGTTTTAATAGTGGAATGAATTAGCATTCATATACCAATTAGTTTCTTTCTGATATTATGTCTATTCCCTTTTAATAAGTTTAGGTTGGTTTTGGGAAACCATTCCTCCCTCTTACATCTTTAATGGTTTGCTCTCTGAGCAGTCAGATGCTTGAGATCAGCAATATCTGCAAGAGCGTGTAAGACATGGGTTTTAAAGGATGATGTTGTGTGGTTTGGGAGCCATTGATCTCTAGTGTTGGTTGAACTTTTAGATTAATAGAAGCAAAATACTGACAACACGTAATACCAGTATTAATACTGAGTCTCATGAAGAGAAATTGAAAAGGAGAACTCAACGTTAAGATTATAATGTAAAAATGAGACAATTTTACTCATTTACTGCTTTATATGTTTACATAACTACTTATGTTGGAAACCAAATTGCTTTTCTTTGCAGCACCACCTCTGCGGTCACAGTAAAGTCCGCCATCAGAAGACTGAAGGAATTGAAAGACCAGTAGAAGCTCCACCATTTTGAAATATCTCTAGCCTGTAATAAATGGGTTAATTTATGTAACGATTACCTTGATTTGTTGTTAATTGTATTGATTTTATGTCGTTCTTGCCAATTCGACTTCTTTTAGATACGTTCAGTATAAATTGTCCAAACTCTTAGCATCTAGAGGTTTTTCTGCTAATGTTATGGTGAACCATATGAAAGTGTCATGTTGTGAGTTAAATTACTGTTAACCTTGTTTTACCTACAAAAACATGGAATTCATACGGGTCAACATAGTATTTTTAAGGATCAGAGCTCTGATGTCTCTGATCTTGCTGTACGTTGATAAAAAGAAGCTATCACATTTTTTTTAAACTGCCAATCCCCCGACTACACTCTTCTCCCTAAACTTCTCCAGGCCTTAATGTTATTAAAACTGTAGAGTTTTTTTTTTTTTAAATCATAGTTAATATTTTGCTTAAAAGTTGTATGGTAGAATGATGGTGCCAGCTGTAAAATGGCATGGCAGAGAGTCTGAGCTTAAGTTCACCAAGGAGAAGAAAGAAAATCAGTATCACCATCAGTAGCCCAAAGCTGATTCCTATGACGTGGAGGTCAGACATACTCCTCCCTCCAACCTTGGCTCCAGAGATGTTAATCCTAGACATTTTATACTGCTTTTAACTTTTTTTTTTTTTTTAATGATAGTTGAAGAGAAGTTGTGAGGGGAGGACAGATTGGTAGTGGAAACCAGTTAGAAAGCTGTTGAAATGGTTAACGTTTTCGTAGGTAAGGAAATAGTGACTTCCCAAGGTTACAGGGAGGCAGGTCATGGAGATAGGACTAAAAATTAGGTTTCTTCCTCCTTGTCCCCCTTTTTCCCCTTAAACTGGACTATGGGCTTATAGTGTATTTCATCTTACTCTGCGTCTTTCCAGACTACAGATTTCCACCTTCATTTTACTCTTAAAAGCAACCCCATCCCCAGGCTTGTTTTCACAAAGGCTTTCTGAGCCTTCACTTCTAAATCACTTGTTGATTGGACATTGCCTCAGGATATAAAGATGGATAATGCATGAGTTCCTCACTAGACTTCTGAGTTCACAGACCGTCTCGTATCCTAAATATTCCTGTGAATTCTGTGATAAATATGTACAGAGAGCCAAGACACAGGAACGTGTACTTGCAAGGAGTTTGGGGTATAAAGTTGAAGAGAGGGGTTACTTGAACTGTGTTTTAAAGGATTGTCAGTTAGAGGTGAGGGCTAATGATCAAGTTCTGGAGCCAAGAACTGTGACTGAGAGGAATTAGGAAGCAGAATAAATCACACTTTAGTGTGCTTTTCTGTCCCATTTTTACTGGGTAACCTGGGAGGCTGTCATTTTTGAATGAAGCCTGGAGAAATAAAAGACTACAAATACAGCAGGTCCAGGTTGTCCATGTTGCTCTGCCACCTTATATGTGACCTAGCAATTTGAATACATCGGAAGATACTCTGTGTCCCAAAAGAAGAATCAGTGCTGTAGATGTTTGGAGTTCATGGCCACTCCTGCTAGCATCTGTTGTGCATTTGAAAAGTAGCTCTTGTTTGCTATTGGGCCCTGATAGAGATCAAACACCAGAACATGAAATAAGTTTCTGTGCAGCCCAAATTGCCCATCATAATCTTGATGTTAACCTGATCTATGAAATCAGATTTGTACAGCAGCTTTCTGTTTTAAAATGGAAAAGGTATATACAAAATGAGACCAGAGAACATCGAGAAAGTACAAGTAAACTGCCCTAACAGGTGTTTTGTATTCTCATTGATATAGTTGCCGTGGAATATACATGGATAGGGTTAATGTGCTTGGGCTGCTAACGGAAAGGTTGGTGGTTCAAGTCCACTCAGGCTGCCTCAGAAGAAAGGCCTGGCAATCTACTTCCAAAAAATCAGCCATTGAAAACCCTCCGGAGGAAAGATAGCAAGCTACAGATTAAAGAGTCCGTGTAAACCTTAGGTGCCGCCAAGTAGTTAACGACTTAGCGACCCTATCTACAACAGAATGAAACACTGCCAGGTCCTGTGCCATCCTCACTCGTACTTGAGCCTGTTGTTGGACCTGCTGTGTTGTGGATCTTCCTCTTTTTGGCTGACTCTCTACCAAGCATGATGTCCTTCTCCAGGGACTGGTCCCTCCTGATGACATGTCCGAAGTATGTGAGCTGAAGTCTCAACATCCTCCCTTCTAAGGAGCGTTCTGGCTGTACTTACTTGACATCTTGAAAGCATCACAGCAACGGGCAAGTCACCACAGTACGACAAACTGACAGATGAGTGGTGATGTAAATCCTTGGCAAAATAAATACAAGGAAAATCACACCTCAGAATGTCAGTATTACTGAACACCAAAGATAAGGAAGATACTAAAATCAGCTAACGGAGACTAGGGGGGAAGGAGCAACGTTAGGACAGATGGCAAACTTCTTACCCACAATGGAAGCTGAAATACAGTAGGTTTATATCTTCAAAGTGCTTCAAATTCTGTATTTTAGTGATCATGTCCTTCAAAAACGAAGATAAAGACAGTTTCAAACAACACATGGCATTTATCACAAGCAGACCCACACATCAGGCAGGAAGTAAATAATCCCAGGAGGAGACTCAAAGATGCACCAAGGAATAAAAAGCAACAAGAAGGGGAAATACGTAAATCAAGTGAATATAGACTATAAATAATAGCAATAATTTGGGGGGTAATATTAAAATATATTTAAATAACAGCATATAGGTCAGAAGGGTAAATGGTGCTAAAGTGTTCTAAGGTTACTGCATTGTTCAGGGAGGCATCAAACAACAAATGCATGTTGTGATTTCTATGGCAATCGTTAATAGAAAAATATGTAAAACTAAAAAATACGGTGGAAATAGAATAATAAGGCAATCAGTAAGGGTATAAAAACAATTGATGGGACAAAAAATAATCGTTTGAGGGTAAATTTAAACATACAAGTATGTATATACCAGTAGTAACATTATGTGTAAATACATAGACTAAATGCTTCAATTAAAAGATAAAAGATTGCATATGAAAAGATGGCCAACATTATATGTCATTAGAGGATTGCAAATTAAAACAATAATGACATTAAAAAAAAAAAAAAAACCTGTTTCCATCGAGTCGATTCTGACTCCATAGCTACCCAGTAGGACAGAGTAGAACTGTGCCGTAGGGTTTCCTAGGCTATAATCTTTACGGAAGCAGACTGTCACATCTTTCTCCCTCAGAGCAGTTGGTGGGTTCAAACCACTGATCTTTTTGTTAGCAGCTGAGCACTTAACCACTGCACCTTCAGGGCTCCTAATAATGACATTACATGGCTAAAAAATAAAAAAATACCAAATATTGATGAGGCTATGGAGCAACAGGAACTCTCATTCATTGCCAGTGGGAATGCAAAATGGTATAGTACAATGGTACAGTCTGGCAGTTTCTTACAAAGCTAAACATAGTCTTAGCATACGATCTCCCAATCACGCTCCTAGGTATTTACCCAAATGGGTTGAAAACTTACGTCCGCACAGAGATCTTCACACAAATGTTTATATCAGTTTCATTCACAACTGGCAAAAAAATGGAAGCAACCAAGATGTCCTTCGAAAGGTGAATGGATGAAGAAATTGTAGTATGTCCATACAATAAAATATTATTTAGTAATAAAAAGAAGTGAGCTACCAAGCCGCAAAAAGACGTGGAGGAACCTTAAATGCATATTGTTTAGTGAAAGAAGCCCGTCTGAAAAGGCTACATACTGTATAACTCGGACTATATGACATTCTGGAAAAAGCAAAACCAGTGACAGTAAAAAGAGGCGGGGAGTGGGGAAGGGGAGAAGGATGAATAGGTGAATAGGTGGACATGGCATTTTTAGGGCAGTGAAACTATCTTGTATCTTCCTGTAATGGTAGATACATGACATTCTGCATTTGTCAAAATTCATTGACTTCTACATGACAAAATAGTGAACCCTGATATAAACTATGGACTTTAGCTAATAATATATCAATATTGGTTCATTAATTATAACAAGTGTACCATAGTAATACAAGATGGGAGGAAGCTGTGAGTGGGGGAGATAGGAGTTATACGGGAACTCTATTATCTGCCCATTATTCTGTAAACCTAAAACTACTCTTCAAAAACAGTTAATTACCCTAAAAAAGAACATAAAGACTGCCAAATTGGATTGCATATGCAAAGTATAAGAATTTCAGAAAGGCAGGCCTGAAGTATGAAGGTGTCAATATAAATAGAGCCCTGGTGGTGCAGTGGTTAAACACGTGGCTGCTAACCGAGAGTTTGGTGGTTTGAATCCACCAGCTGCTCCAAGGAGAAAGATGTGGCAATTTGCTTCTGTAAAGACTGCAGCCTTGGAAACCCTATAAGGCAGTTGTACTCTGCCCTATAGGGTTGCTATCAGTCAGATTTGACTAAGCAGTGGGTTGGTTGGTTTGTTTTTGATACATATAAATAATAAAGTATAATGCTACAGACAGACAAAAAGCATAAGGATACAGAAAGTTTGAAAGTAAAAAGAAAAAGATATAATATGCAAACAATCCATGAAATCTAATAAAATTTTCTATTAATATCTGGCAAAGGGAACTTTACGGCAAAGGGCATTACTAGAGACAAAGTGGGGCATTCATATTGTTAAACATTTATAAAAAATACATGAATTTTTTTTCAGCATTTCAGGGCATTGACAAAGATAAGTAGATGCTGATAGCTCTTCTTGCGTATCAAACTGAAGAACTTAGAGAAACACTTCTTGGAAAAATCAAGAAGTGATAAAAACTACCGTCGATGTCAGTAACAAGAAGACCCAACAAGTCTGAATTGTCATAAGCTAGAAAACATGTAAATTATTTTATTTCTAAATAATAGATATCTCTATGAAACAAAGACTTAAAATACCGAAAAATGTTTCAGCTCAAGAACTAACAGAAATAGATAATTTTTTTTAAGTTAACTTTTTAAGCTGAACTAGAGCCAACCCCTTTGTATATGACTTGCTGCCTGTTAACATTTTGTTTCTTGGATTGGCAC